AAACAAAAGGGACCCAACAAAAGCCATCGGAGCTTGACGAGCCGCTGAACTTGAGCAAGATTTGAAGTCCACAAACTCAATTTCTACTTGATAATTAAACATCCAATTGAAAAATAAGCTAGAGAGAATTATACAAAGAATATGTTTACTATCTTTCAGAAAGAATTCAAAGATAGTTACTCCATGCTTCGTGAAAGGTTGTCGAAGGATGGCGCAAGTGCTACTTATGCCGTTTAGAATAGATAGGGAGGCTTAAAATAAGAAGATAGTAAAGCACCATGTTGTATTTGATGCATCTAAAGAAAAAAGAATTAAATGCTCTTGGGTTCGAATCTTTTGCCCTTCATTTTTTCAAAAGCTATTTGGGTCTGTTATGAACTCAAACCTGACCCGGTTAGGATCCAATATCAATTTCCAGACCCGTTTGGGTTTATAATTCAAAGTACAGACTCGTTTAACCTGGTTAGGATGTTCCAATATCAATTTCAAACATGTTTGGGTTTATAATTCAAATTACAGATCTATTTGGCCCGGTTAGGATCCAATATCAATTTCCAGACCCGACCCATTTGGGTTTATAATTTAAATTACAGACCCGTTTGACCCGGTTAGGATCCAATATCAAATTTTTAGACCCGTTTGGATTTATAACTCAAAATACTATACTCGTTTGGGTCTAAAACTTAAATTTCTAGACCAGGTTGGGTTTATAACTTAAAATACTAGACCCGTTTGGGTCTAAAACTCAAATTTCAGACTCTTTTGGGCCTTTTGCTTACTAAAACCAGTTTTATAGATTTTTATGCTATCAAATCAAACCCGTTTGGCCTGCTTTGACACAAATAATTATGTTAATTATTTATTTTTTCTTTTGTTAAGATGAAGGATGATATTGTTTGATCTCTTGATGCTTGTTGGATCACTTGATGTATGTTTGATCACCTAATGATATTTAATAGGGTTGATTGTGCATGAAGATGACTCCTGTCAAAATATGATTCATAAACGTGTTATCATAGCATGCCTATACCCTTGACATCGATATCTCGATGTGAGTAGTTTCTCTTGATTATTACTATTATTATAATAATATTGAGTAGATGATGCACCCATCTTGACTGGACATGTTTTGGGTCACAACTATTTTCATAAATTTTACGAAAGTCATTCTATGGTAACTCTGTGGTTAATAAATAATATTTCATGCACAACCACTTAAAATAAATAGATAAATGTGGGGTTTATTAAGGGGAATTGGACGGAGAATATAATGTGTAGATAAGCAGGCTCATGCGCATCCTTGAAATCCGGAGTTATATATAAGGGTCAAGGGCCAATCCTGACTTGAAGCCGTGTTTCCGGGACGGTTTACGGGAACCCGATTTATATACATGATACTATTCTCTACTAATACAAGTAACATATAAAATAATAATAACATATGTGTATGCCTTGTGATAAACTTATTCTTAATATCTACTATTAGCATTTCTTTTAGTCACCTTTAATTTAGATTTCATCTCTTTTTTTTATACCTGCCACATACACTTGCGCGCGCGCAATTTCTTTATTTTACATGATTGTTGGGAGTTTTCTGACTCTCCTGGGGTTTGAGCGCCCAGACTCGGGGTTCGTTCTTTCTTCGCAGGACGGAGAGTATTTCGAGGAGCATGCTCAGCTATAGTGATCACCATTTATTCTATCAGTTCTTCAATTCAGTTGGTTTAGGTAGTTATTTGGTTTAGACTTTTTCTTGAGTTACATGTGACATTTTCTTGACTATGATATAATTTTTTAACTCTTTGTGGATAGTAGTGAAACTCGTATTTGGACTCCGTCCTTTTGGAGATTTTTTTCATCTATACATTTCTTTTATTGTCTTAGTTACATGCTTTATGGTATAGTTTTGGTTTATATCAATATACATGATGATCTAGAGGCGTGAACAAGGCTGAATGGTTGATTGCCAACCGAGTCACGTTCTAACTTTTTACATTTTGGAACTGGGGCGTTTATCTATACATTTTTTATTGTCTTAGTTACATGCTCTATGGTGTAGTTTTGACTTTATATTTATATACAAGATGATCTAGAGGTGTGAATGTGACCGAATGGTTGCATTGCCGGCCGAGCAACGTTCCAAGTTATTGCATTTTAAAACCGGGGCGTGGCAATAGTGAGGTATCCTATTCACATCCACTCATTCCAATTCCCAACCACTTCCCAACTCATGTGAATGCGAGCCTCGATTTTAATGAGTGAAGGGGAATATGCGACCTTACTACCAAACGCAAAAATTTGTGCTTGGTACAAACATACCAATTTTTCTCATATATATTTATATATAAATCCTCATATCTTTAATTGAATCATCCATCTTTTACTTTCTTGATTTTCCTCTTTATTCTTGATTTTTCTTTATTTGATTCTTGATTTCACTTTCCTTCTATTTTTTTCATCTTTCTTCCTCCCCTCTCACTTTAGTTTAGTTTTTATTTGCATATAGTCACAACTACTCTCCTCATATCTCTCCACAACCACATTCTTTCATCACTCCTAAATTGTCACACACACAACTTAAGAACCAATTTTGATTAATTCCTACAACACCATTCTTGTGGGATTCGACATATGTCTATACTACAACTTGATCGGCACCTTTGAAGAGACGAGCCTTCACAACCACTATTTCAACCTACTTTTAAAAAGAATGCCTCCATTTTCAAGGTGTGATTGTAAGGGAGGTGATTTGGCCACCTCACTACCAACGTTCAATGCAGAATTTGGTTACCAAGTTTTCTCTAATTTACTCTCTCTCTCTCTCTCTCTCTCTATATATATATATATATATATATATATATATATATATATATATAATATAATATATATATATATAGAGGAGAGAGAGAGAGGAGAGAGCAGAGAGAGAGAGAGAGAGAAAATTAGTATACTTGTACCAAGCATAAGTTTTTATGCTTGGTTAGTGACGTGACATATTTCACTCCACTCATTAAAAATCGGCGTCGCACATTCAACACGGGTTGGAGCTGTTGGTATAGATGAAATTGAGTAGATCGGAATATGGCACGCTCATACCAAGCAACAATTTATACTTTGTACCAAGCATACCCATTTTTCAAAACACACACACAACACACCCACACACACCACACCTATTTTTTTACACACACACACACACACACACCACCACACACACAACCACACACACACACACACATATATATAGTATATATATATATATATATATATATATTAATATATATATTATATATAATATATAGATATATATTATATATATATATATATTATATAATATATATATATATATTAGGTATATGGACCCTAAAGTGGCTTCCTTAGGGTGCATCTAGGGATGCACAATGTAAGCCGTCCATCATCTAACCCTCAACAAAGATCTGGTCCCTTCATTTCAAAAACTCATCCCCCCAAAATCTCTACCCCTTACTCTTATCTCAGATCAGATCTCAGGGCATTCCCTCATCACCGGAAGCTCATCCCGCTCCCCGGCCTGCCCTTGGAGTTGTCCTTCACACGAGTTCAGCCCTTGAGATCTGCTCCCTGCCAGCTCGAGGTTCACCCTCGAGCCTCTCCTAAGGTCGTTCCCCGCCTCACTGCCTGCCTCGCCCATGAGATTAGCCTCAAGTTCATCGTCAACCACTCTCCACCTCACCCCTTGAGGTTCGCGCTTCACATGAGTTCACCCTTAAAGATCTTCTCTCTGGCCTCAATGGCTTCACCTTCACCGACTCCCTGCCCATTCCGCTCGCGAGTTCCACTTTGTCACCGCCACTCCCTGTCTTACCCTCGAGTTCGTCCTTCAACACAACTTCATCCTTCACGACTCCCTGCCTTACTGCTCACCTCGCCCATGAGTTCCTACTTTGCTTCCGCCACTCCTCACCTCACCCTATTCACTAGCCCCTCTATGTCGTGTTCCCTGATAGCCATGTCAAGTAGTCACCTTGAGTTTAGCCTTTGCCCATGTCGAGTAGTCGCTGCCCGCCTTACCCTCTTCACCCGTCGTCTTTCTCAAGTTCTCTCTTCACCGCCGCTCCTGCCACTCCCTCGAGTTCCCACTTCGCCTCGAGCTCCCCTCGACCACATCGCCTCGCACTCTCCTCGACCGCTCGATGCTCACCCACAAGCTCCACCACCTTAATTATCCCTCCTTGATGCCTCTACGCCTTAGATCTACTCGACATGTTGACACCTCCACCGCCATCTCCTCCTTGAAGTTCGGTGACCTTTAGCTTAACAAAGTTATCCATATAATTTTTTGAGTTCTAGATTTTCATATAATTTTGCTATGTAAGTTCAGTTAGGGAATTTTTATCTTGTAATTCTTGTTGATTTTAGGATATGTTTATTGTTAAATTGGATCTGAACTTTTTTGAGTTCTAGATATTCATATAATTTTGCTATGAATATGACCTTTTGAAGAAATGTATAATAGTGGGCATTATATTTGAGTTTAGATTTTGGGATATGTTTATTGTTAAATTGGATATGAACTTTAAATTTGATTTGAACTATCATAATTTTATTTCATTTGAGAGTCGAACTTATATCTTGAATTTGGTACAATTTGAGCTACTATTCATTAGGGTTGATTTTAGTTTTTGTGCTTTGATAATGAAATTGTTTAGTGAAATTGAAAGATCAACTTGATGACAAAATTTTAAAGATTTTGAACTTCTTATATGTGATAATTTGATAGCTTGTGTAGACACTCCAACAATTCTCTCACATGATACGACAATGGATGAAGATGAAGAAAACTTATAGCCCTTGACCTTGAAGGTGAGGACCATGATCTACTATCTACGATAAGTTTTTTCTCTTAGGTGATAATATCTTATTGTTTATAGTGTACTACTAACTAATGACATATACCAAAATAGTTATCTTTAAGCATGAATTGGGTCTTTTTTCATAAGTTTTTTTCTCTATTTTTATAGGCATCCAAGCATGAGGAGAATGTTGATGAGCCTATTGGTGTTGAAAATGGCAAAGGTAATCATGTTGTTGATCTATATATCGGAATGGAGTTCTCTACATATGAGGAATGTTATAATTTCTACAATGCATATGCCAGACTTAAGGGATTTGGTTTTCACAAGAGTCATACATTTTGGTCGAGAAAGAAAGATGTAATCATATGTAGAACCTTTGTATGTGACAAAGAAGGCTTTAAATTTTTAGAATATAAAAGAGAAGATGATCTGAATGTAATTCAAAAGTCCGATACAAGATGTGGATGCAACGTAAGGATGGTTATTAGGCTTGATAGAAGCACTAGAAAATGGGTGGTGTGAAATTTTATTAGTAATCATAATGGTCATCCATTAATCACCCCAGATCGTTTAAAGAAGCATTACTCACATCAGACGCTTTATCAATCTCAATCGATAAAAATGTTGATAGACACTCTTGACAACCAATGTTTACGCCTTCTACCACTTTTAAGGTTGTAGACGTTGCTCATAGAAATGAACAAGGATCTCTCACTCAACAAGAATACCAAGATCGTCTTAGAGTTAAATGAAGAAACAATGTCGGCCATGAGTGCGTGAACATAGTTTGTCAATTTTTAGAGAAAAAGGTATCTGATCCTCAATTTTAGTTTGTACTAGATTTAGAAAATGATGGGACGATGAGAAGTGTTTTTTGGATGGATGGTAGGGCAATGACTTCTTACTTGTAATTTGGAGATGTTGTTTATTTTGATGTTACATATAGAACAAACAATTTAAAATTGTCGTTTGTACCATTTATGGACGTTAACCAGCATCAATAATCTACTCTATTTGGGTGTGTACTATTGACCAATGAAATAGAGGAGGACTTTATATGGTTATTTAGCCAATGGCTAAAATGTATGTCGGGTATAACACCTATAACAATCATCACTGATCAAGATAAAACTATGTATGGTGTAATTCATAAAGTTTTTCCTCAAACTCACCATCACTTTTATTCTTGGCACATTCATAGGAATGCCTTACAAAATTTTCAATCAATGCATAATGATTACGGTGAGGAAGTTTCTATAAAGTATAACAAATAGTATTTGAGTAAAACAAAAGAAAATTTTAAAAAGCGTTGGGAAGAAATGAGGGACAAGTTTGGTGTAGATAAAACGAGTTGATTAGTAAATTTATACAATCATCAAGATCATTGGGCTCCTGTGTATCTTAAAGATACTTTTACTATAAGAATGACATCTACTCAGCGGAGTGAGGGAATTAATGTTTTTTTGATTATTTTGTGAATGTCAATACCGAGTTACATGATTTTATTAAGTAATATGATAGAGCCATCGGTGCTTGACGAGCCGCTGAACTTGAGCAAGATTTTAAGTTCACAAACTCAATTTCTACTTGACAATTAAACATCCAATTGAAAAATAAGCTAGGGAGAATTATACAAAGAATATGTTTACTATCTTTTAGAAAGAACTCAAAGATAGTTACTCCATGCTTCATGAAAGGTTGTCGAAGGATGCGCAAGTGATACTTATGCCGTTTGGAATAGATAGGGAGGCTTAAAACAAGAAGATAGTAAAGCATCATGTTGTATTTGATGCATCTAAAGAAAAAAGAATTAAATGCTCTTGTGCGAGATTTGAGATGGAAGGTATATTATGCAAACATAACTTGCACATTTTAGTAAAAAAGCAAGTATTAGAAATTCCATCAAGATATATTATGTAACGATGGATAATTAATGTAAGACATGTTAGTTTCGGAGTTGTTAGAAATTACATTACAAATAGTGAAGACCAACTCTCTATCATTAAATATTGGGCCCTTAGGAGTAGATATAACAAAGTACTAGAAGATACATTGACTTCAAGTGCACTTCATGATAAGTTTAGTGCTCTTTTAGACTCATTTTTTGAAGAAGTTAAGAATTATAAGAAAGAGAAGGAACTTAACGATAATGAAAATGAGAGCAATGCCAGCAATAATATGCCTACTTCATTCATACCCATCTTTATAGAGGAAGCAACTCAAATCACTATTCATGATCTAGATAAACACATTGCCACGAAGGGACGAACAGCACAAGGTACTAGAATTAAGTTCGGAATGGAGATAGCATAAGAAAAGAGTATAAAAAAGCAAAGATTTTGTTGATTTTGCAAGGGAAAAGGACATTATATAATGGGTTTTCCTTTACCTAAAGTATTATATTTAATCTTAATTTGATGTTTTTTTTTTTTTGCATTTTGATGCATTTGTCATGATAAAGTTACAATTTTTTTGTAGATGAAAAATGTTGTAGGTGGAGGTCGAGAAAGTTAATGGAGGGAAAGTAGTTTGCAAGCGTATTTCCTTGAGTTACAAACATAATCATGTGTTTAGGAATAATGTGATAATGTGAACTAAAGTTATGTATGTATGGATGCAATCATGTGTTCTTTTGAATCGTGTGTACCTTAAGTTTGCGAGATGATAATGTGGTTGTATGGATTAATCATGTGTTTTGGAATAATGTGATAATTTGAACTAAAGTTATGTATGTATAAATGCAATTATATGTTCTTTGAACCGTGTGTACCTTAAGTTTGTGAGTTGATAATGTGGTTGTATGGATTAATCATGTGTTTCAGTATAATGTGATAATTTGAACTAAAGTTATATCTGTATGGATGCAATTATGTGTTTTTTGAACTGTTTGGTTATATGTGCCTTTAGAGTTACAAAAAAGGAATAATGAGTTACATGATTTTTTTCCAGAACTTTGAGTTATAAAACTTCAATAACTGGGTACAAAACTAGACTAAAGAGTTATAAAAAAATGAATATGGAGTTACATAATTTTTTCAGAACTGTGAGTTATAAAACTTCAATAACTAGGTACAAAATTGGACTAAAGAGTTACAAAAAATAAATAAAGAGTTACATATTTTTTTTTCCAGAACTATGAGTTACAAAATTTTAATAACTGGGGACAAAAATGAATTAGGAGTTACATAATTTTTTTCAGAACTATGAGTTACAAAATTTCAATAACTAGGGACAAAACTGAACTAAAGGGTTTCAGAAAATGAATAAGGAGTTACAAAATATTTTTCTAGAACTATGAGTTACAAAACTTCAATAACTAGGTACAAAACTGGACTAAAGAGTTACAAAATTTGAATAAGGAGTTACAAACTTTTTTCCTCCAAAACTAAGAGTTACAAAACTTTAATAACTGGATACAAAACTGGACTAAAGAGCTATAAAAACTGAATAAGGAGTTACAAAGTTTTTTCCATAACTATGAGTTACAAAACTTTAGGAACTGGGTACAAAACTAGACTAAAGAGTTACAGAATTTGAATAAGGAGTTACAAATTTTTTTTCAGAACTATGAATTACAAAATTTTAATAACGGATACAAAACTAGACTAAAGAGTTATAAAATTTAAATAAGGAGTTACAATTTTTTTCCAGAACTATAAGTTACAAAACTTTGATAACTAGGTACAAAATTGGCTAAAGAGTTACAAAATTTGAATAATGAGTTACAATTTTTTTTTCCAGAAATATGAGTTACACAACTTTAATAACTAGGTACAAAACTAGACTAAAGAGTTACAAAATTTGATTAAGAAGTTACAATTTTTTCCCAGAATTATGAGTTACAAAACTTCAATAACTGGGTATAAAACTAAACTAAAGAGTTACAAAATTTGATTAAGAAGTTACAATTTTTTCCCTAGAATTATGAGTTACAAAACTTCAATAACTGGGTATAAAACTAAACTAAAGAGTTATAAAAATTGAATAAGGAGTTATAATTTTTTTTCCAGAACTATGAGTTACAAAACTTTAATAACTAGGTACAAAACTAGACTAAAGAGTTACAAAATTTGAATAAGGAGTTACAAAAATTATTGCAATAACTGCCCTTTGGTGAATGTTTTCTGTCTCTCAATTGGGCGTTTATCTATAGCAGGTAATTTCATCCAATGTAAAATTTGTCTCCAAAGTGTAATTATACAACAACAACCAAGAAAAATTCTTCAACATTCATAAAAAGGCAATATCCAGACAACCAAGTAGACTTGTAAAATATACAAGTATAAACTATACTTACAATAGAAAAAGGAATATCATCCACATCCACATCCACATATTCGCATACACAACAACAACCAAGGAAAAAAAAGAAAAAAATATTTAGAAAAATTATAGAGAAGCATGATCTTTACTCAGCATCATCATCAACAGTAAGAGAAGTAGCCATTGCTAAATGAGACCTCGCCTCTGAATGAATTATAACATAAAAAAGTGCCAAAAAAATCCAAAACATGTGAATTACATAGTTAGAACTGTGGTTTTACAATCGCCACAAATACGGTGAATTGCGTGCATACAAGAAAGCTGCACAAAACTTTGCTCTGTACTTTTCACACTCTGCTTGTGAGATTGTTATCGATCTCTTTTTGATAATGCCACTAATAAATTCAATCATAAAGATCCTACGATCTAAGGTCATACATTTGGAAAAAAAAATTACGATATTGAAAATGACTTTGAGAAAAAAATAAGTTGTTACAAAAGAATTGCATGAAACACATACGACCCTTGTTGAGGAGCGACAACTGACACAAGTTCATGGTGCTCTAATTTCCCCAACATCCAATTACTCTCTATAAAACTCATAAACTTATTTTTAAATTTCGCAGCATCGGCGGTATAAAGGGGAGACTTGATTGGGGAGTATTGATAGAATTTTTTCTCCACTCTAACTAACTCTACCAAGTACCAAGTACCATGCACCCATCAACACGTTTCACCATCACAGTAATATCTCTCTAGTGGAATCAATAACAAGTGTCGGTACAAAACAGGTAAAATACAAAAAATAAAGGCATTAAACATGATATAGAAAGAGATATCTAATAAATATAATCATGTCTCAATTGAATAATCTAAATACAACTAAAGTCTGAAATAAATGTGAAGTATCTCAATATGACTCAACTAAAAATAAACTAAGGCACACAACCTTTACAAGATGAAATACAAAACTCTAAATGTTCTAAAGAAAATATCAACTATGGTGGAGTCTCATCTACTAAAAATATGTGATGTCGACTATGATGGAAGTCCGTCATCGTGCGACTCTCTGGAACTCTGAGCTGTTGTCTGAAAGTAATTAGAAAATAAAAAGAGAAACAATAAGAGCGTCAGAGTACTACATGTAGGCGTCAAAAATTACCTATAGGTCCCCGAATATAACACAAGACAAAGAGAAGACGATGAACGTCATTATCTGAGTCGAAGAGGATTATCCGACGCCGACAAGAGCATGAAGC